AAAAATCCCCAACCTGATTGCATTTACAGCTCGCTGGGCTGACTGCTGCCCCCTGAAGTTACAGTGGTTTGATCCACAAAGCTTTCTATTTCCTGAGGGGTTTGCAAAAGGTATTTATTCAGAGCTGTTGGGTCCACAAGATGAAAGGACTCTGATAGCTACCTGCGGTGGCCAGCATCTGGACCTGGACTACTTGAGCTTGTTATCTGAAAGCAACAAAACCAACTGATCCATGGGAAGCAAACAATAACATACTCCACGTGTTACTGGGGTGCACAAATAGCTCAGAGGCATGTTGGTACCTAATTATGGGGATGTGCAAATGTACAAAAATACTGAGGCAGCAATTGCTTTAGAGAAGAGTGTGACACTTGTTACTCATAAGGGAATTTAAAAAATCTCAACATATGCCTCAAGGCCTCTGAAAAACAGACCTAAAGTGCCTACTTAAGATCCTGTCAAGAAATGACACAGTCAACTCTTGTGAGCAAGTCTCCTGGCAGAGACAGCATTATAACTATGTAAATCAGCAGACAAATCATTGTGTTTTACCTGAAAAATGAAGGAGATCAGACTATTCACCTCTTCCCAGACTCAGATCAAATACTCTGTTGGAACAAAGAAGCCTCTACGATCTCACTGCAAAGCAATTCAGTGAAAGGCAAGGCTGTACTCACTGTACCTTCAACATTAACTTATTTTTCCAAGAGGAAAACAAATTCTGGCTAGTATACCTACATAAAAAAGGAAAACTCCTACAACAATTTTTCTTCCCTTTTTCTAACTGGTTTATCTACTTCACACAAAGAATGATCTTGGAAGAAAATTCTTGTCATATTTTGCATCAAAAAAATGAATAATAATCTTGACTTTTGAAAGTGCTTACTAGACTGTTCTGTGCACTTGAATATTTTCTTTCACCATTTAGTCCAGTTTTCTATGGGAGTACATCATACACTTTAATTAAACATTCTTGAGTATTTGGATTTTATCTCACAGATGCACTGCACCCTGCTTGTAAAAATTCCATCGCAGGCAGCCAAAGTGCTTGACTTATTCCAAAGATGAGTTATTAATCACAGTATCTATAGAACATATATTTATAACCTGGTGCCATCCCTTCCCAGGGAGCCCAAACTTTTATCTGCCAGATTACTCACCTGCAGCTGAAACAGAGCCATTGCTGGCTCTGGAATCCCCATCTTGTGAAACTCCTGACCACCACCCTCAAAATTAAGAATGGAAAACAGATCCAAATGGAGGACATTTTTAAGATGTCCTGGATGTAAACCCCTTGAATATAATTCATCTTGCTTACAATATGGCTGTAGCTATCTAACTCTGTGGGTTTCCTAAAGTCCCTGTTCACTTCATCTTGCTTCATTAAGAGAAATCCTCCCCTCAGCTGTGAACTCCTGCAAACACGGAGGTGCCAGTGGGATGCCAACTGGTATGATTTTCCTCCCCAAAGTGGTCCCAAGTTTCACCCTCACCACGTCAGCTGGGGCACCAGCCCTGCTGTGACTCAGAGAGGAGGGTACCCCAGTCTGAAATCACTGAAGGCAATGACGACTCGCAAAATACTTCCTGAGCCAAGGGATGCAAGTCAGTGCCAGTCATGAGCTCACCGACACCGCTCCCTGGTACCGCTGCCTTGCCAGTCTGCTGCAGCATTTTTAGCTGGCTAGGTGCGCCGGCTCAGCCCTCTCTCCACACGTTTAGCAATCGAGAAGAGGCAGAGCTTGGGGCTGCCACAGCAGCCAAACACCCAAATAGGCAAGGGCGAAGTGTCAGAGAGAGGAATATTGTGTTACCGGGCTCATTAGCCCGCACAGGCAACTTGAAACCGTATCCTGCCGAAGTGCAGAAGGGAGGGTACAGCCATCCCACAGAAGGAAATCCATAGGAAATCCTGCTGGCATGAAATACGCCTGCAAGACAGCCCACAGCAGCCTCCAGTGAGCAATCCCCACGCAGACAATGGAGAGATGATAAGAAGAGAGTGGCACCTTCCAGGAATGGGTCCGGGCAAGACTCTGCCACTGCAGGGAGTCACCAGCACCCTCCAGGCTCGCCCCTTCCACAGGTCAGCATAAGGACCCCCCAGCAGCCTGCCATGCTAAGCACTGCTAGTCCTCTCCCAGGCTCAGGTTTGGGGGAGGAAAGATATCTCATACACCAGTGGGCATTCAGCATGCTGCCAGGCCCCAGTGCAAAGCTCTTCAGCTTTACAAGTGTCCCTCTCCAGCCCCAGAAAAAAAGTCACCAGCTTGGAGGAGCCACTAGAGCCAAGGGAATAACTGGTTTTCAGCTCTGGACTTCATGTCACACCCACAAGAGACTCCTACAGCACTGCTCTCCTCATCAAGCACGCTTGCCTTGGCAACCTTTGATTCTCAGACCTTCCATCTCCAACTAGAAGAGATGCAGCAAGGAAGCAAACATTGCCCGCAGGAAAAAAAACAACCATGCTCTCGCTGCAGAGAAAGCAACCTCCTGGCAATTCTCCTGGGGAGCTGTGCCATGAGGAGCAGATGAATTTTGGATTGACTTCTCCTCTGCCTTAGCACGCCCCACAGATACATGGAGATATTAGTATGAGAAAATCTCTTGGTTTGGAAAACTGGATGTTAGTGAGAGGGGGCTTGAAATGGAGAAGGGAAGAAGAGACCTCTTTGGCATTCTCCTCTTGTTGAATGTAAAGGGGAAGAACTTTAAAAAAAGAAGAGTTTAAGCAAGCTCCCCCGAAGTAGCAGCATAAGAAAGACCTGACTGCCCACATGGGGCAAAAAAAGAACACAAAAGGGTAGTGCAAGAGGTCGGAACAGTTTTATGAGGGGTTTCCCTAAGTCACCACAATTGAAAACACTGGGAAATATAAGAGGGTGCTTGATCCAAAATCTCTCACCTAAAGAATCTCAGATGCTGTTTGCGCTGACATCTGGGTGTGATCTTTGAAACTTGGGCTCCTTTCTGTGTAACATAGTGGATTGAATCAGACCTGACCCAGACATTTGCAACACTTAGAAATATGTTGATTTTACTGCTTTTGTCAGTCACCAATTTACTAGAAGTTACTCCCTGGATTTTGTCCTACTCCTTTCATTTTTTTTATAAGTACTTCTGGTTTTGAAGCATTTTTTTAAGTACTAACTATTTCTCTTATTAAAAGTATTTGTAAGTATTTTCTTTCTTTTTGGAAACTACCTCTGGTCTAAGTCAGAAGCTTTTAAGTATTTACTCAAAACAGATAATTCTGGCCAGGATGGCAATGTCAGCATGGAGAAGCTTTTTCTGGCCCTCTTTGTGTTTCTGCTCTTTTCAGAGAAAAGGAGTTCAGGTTGTAATGAGAGGACTGAAAAATACATTAATCCTTATTAAACCAGTAGAGTAAATTGACAGGCCTAGGACTGGCCACTTCCTCCCCTCTCCCTTCGTGCCCTTCCGCTGTTTCCTCTCCTCTTTTCTGACACTTGTTTGTGTTTGGAAGTAGCACGCTCACTCCTGACAAACCGGGACAGGGGACGAGAGGGGAAATGTCTGGACGCATTTAGTCCAATTAAATGTTGGCATCACATTCAGTCTTTCCAAAAAGCACGTAGGAAACTTTAAACGCCAGGCTGGCTGCTGCGAATTGATGCCTCCTCATTTACATTTCTTTGCATCAAGCCACAAACAGAGTAGGTATTAATTGTCATCAAGTGTGCCTGCCACAAACCCCTCTGTAATACCATTCACAAATGTTCTGCTAAAACCTTTCGTCTTTCAGCAGATGACTTTCATAATCCCATGTCACTGATGAGCTTTGGCAGAGCTAAGCAGTGCACTGTGTTTGCTGCTGACAACTCCCCTCACTTTCCTTTTCCAGCTGCCACAGCAGCACACCAAGTCTGGAGCAGCACTGCCAGCCCAGTGTCATCTCAGACTCGCATTGTTCCTTCCAGCAATGTGTTCGCTAACAGGGGTTTACAGCAAATAAACACATGCACACAGGCCCTGCACGTGTGGTCTGTTCATCATCTTGAGCCATCCAGTGTTCCAGAAAGACGCTGCTCCTTCAGAAGAGCAGTGGCAATAAACCCAAGCAGTCTGAGCTCGGCAGCAGTGCCAGCCCCCCTCCCACAGCCCTTGCCAGCACACCCGTGGGTCCCACGGCCTCCAGGCAGGGGCTCTGCTGCACAGGGGGTTACAACCCTGACAGAAAGCACTGGAAGTTTGACTTTTGGGTGAGAAAGAAGCAGCTGAGGAGGGACAGGCACGGTTGGTTCTCTCCTGTTACTGTTTCATTTTTTTGTTTTAAACAACTAAATCTTGCTCTTCTTACTCCTGAGAAAAGTCCTTTACAAATGAATTACAAATGAGATTAGCCATACAAATGAATTAAGGGTCAGTTTACAGTGTTAGTAAATTAAATGCTTTACATACAGTGACTGAAGAGTTTGGTAGAATTCATTAAACTAGATTCAGACCTCAGATGCTTTCCAGAGCAGCTGGAAGGTTTTAAGGAACTAAATAGAAGAAACACAAAAACCCTCACTTTGCTCAGCATTCACTGCAACATCCAAACCAGCAACATACTTCCACATGAGTGCTACAGCTCTGCTCTCCAACATGTGTTCACAGCTCTGATTAGATCCAACCGCAAGTTCAGGACTAAATGTACCAAGGCACGACCCCAGCTGATTTCAGTATAAACTGCATGTCTGGAATCTGACTGTACAGACAGGTCCCTGACCACTGGCAAAGACATACACGGATAGAGCAGCAATCTGCTTGCCCCATATTCACACTGCTAAGAGCAAGTGGGTACTCTGCCCTTGTTTTTAATAAAAGCTGGGTCCATCCAGTTTATAATACGCTCTAAGGTGCACTCACATGCAGTAATCTTTGAGGGCAGGAAAAATCCCCTATCACGTTTCAGTTTTGAGGAAGAAAGGGTGCTCACCACAGGGCGCCCAGATAAACAAACAACCTGCACTGCTCGTGACACATTTTGGTACCTGCACAATGGGGTGGCCCCCCGCAGATGCCTTCACAGCCCCTCGACTGCCTTCTGTCTCGTAATGTGCTCGGTGGTGGGATTTCGGCTGCACTTCAATACGCAGCTCATAAGGTCCTGAGTGAGATGGCAGCTGCCAATCAAGAGCAGGCAAGGATGGGCTATAACGGAAAGGAAAATGTATTAAAAATTAACATCAAGTACACTATCACAAACCACAAGCATCCAGAACTATTACTTTATAGAGCGTGTTTCGCAGTTCATCCTTCGCCATCTTACATTTAGAATTCTGTTATTATGGATAATGCCATGACATAAGTCATTGAGAAGGTAACTGTTATTTTATGAAGATTTATGGGTTTAGCATATCTGATGGCCCAGATGCTACCCAATTTGTAACCAAAATGGAAAAATGTTAAGACACAGATTTACAAATATCACAAATATCACTGAACCAAAAGGATAAAGGTAGGAAGAAAGATGGAGAGGAATTTAAAGAGGATTTCTGCTGTGAAAGTGAATACTGAACCAGTTCTGGAGGAGTTCTGCATTTAATGAATCTAATAGATTTCAATAAATCTGCTCAGTTTACAGGAGATGAAAAGAAGAATAAAAGCCATTTCCCACCTTCCTTCCCAACACAAAACAGGTCAGAGAGTCTCAAAGCTAAGGCAATCTCTTTCTGGTTTGTGAACCACAAGGGAGAAAGCTCTGAAGTCAGAGGTTGTTTACAAATCTTACTAATGATGACACATAAGCCTGAAGAAAATTCAGCTCTCTCTCCTGGCCCTGTATTGGCTCTGCAATTAGTGAAAATATTAAGGACTCATTGCCATCACACAAGCAAGAGGGCCTGACAGCATGTGATGGCAGGGAACTGTCATTCTTAGAAACTCACTTCCAGTGTAAAGCACCCACAGGTGAGCTTCACTGTAGGAAACACCAAGATAACTCTTCTGGTTAGGAAAGAAAAAGACACAAACAAGCCCTGCAGAAACCGTAGGCCTGAGACAAATCTATTAATCTTAAAACGGAAGTAAAAAGCTTCACAATGTAAACGTTAATTTTATGTCTACCAAATACTCATTCTTTTGGTGACTTCTCCTCACCAGGTGTCCTTCAAAGTCCTTTTCAAGTAGTTAAATGGCACAACCGCAACACACCACCCTGCCCTCTTATGTGACACTTAATTATTATCTTTCCCATCACCCTGAAGAAGACAACCAGCAAGCAGAAAATCACAGACCTCAACTCTTTGTTGTCACCACATACAGGTGCTACCTGTCATGGTCAGAGGGCTCGTCCCTCCGCCATGTGAAGACGAGGAAGCTGAAGCACTAATTAATTAGCTCCGGCCCCAGCCTGCCAGGAGGCTGAGCTGGGGCTTTGCCTGTTCCTGCCTCACTGCTGTACCCATGGGGCAAGGACAGTCTGAGCAGATGCAGGGAGCTGGCTGGGAGGTAAAGGATGCAGCAGAATTTCCGCGCTGCCTGTGTATGTTACAAGCACATATTCGCCTGGAGACTGAATACTCCATTATACTGTCCCATTGAAACAAAGAATCACAGAATCATTCTGGTTGGAAAAGATTTTTAAGATCACCAAGTCCAACCACAACCTAACTCTACCAAGTCCAATGCTTAAACTATGTTCCTAAGCACCCTATCTATACATTTCTTAAACACCTCCAGGTACAGTGATTCAACCAGCTCCCTGGGCAGCTTATTCCAGTGCTTTCAGTGAAGAAATATTTTCTTATATCCAATCTAAACCTCCCCTGGCACAACTTGAGCCCACTTCCTCTTGTCCTGTTTCTTACTACTTGGGAGAAGAGAAAAACTTCCACCTTGCTGCAACCTCCTTTCAGGTAGTTGTAGAGAGTAATAAGGTCTCCTGTTAGCCTCCTTTTCTCCAGACTGAACAACTCCAGTTCCTTCAGATGCTCCTCTTGTTCTCCAGACTCTTCACCACCTGTGCTGCCCTTCTCTGGACTCACTCCAGCACCTCAATGTCTTTCTTATAGTGAGGGGCCCAGAACTGAACACAGTACTTGAGGTGCAGCCTCACCAGTGATGAGTACAGAGGGACAACCACTTCCCTACTCCTGCTGGCCACGCTATTCATGATACAAGCCAGGATGCCATTGCCTTCTTGGCCACCTGGGCACACTGCTGGCTCATGTTCAGCTGGCTGTCAATCAACACCCACAGGGCCTTTTCTTCTGGGCAGCTTTCCAGCCACTCTTCCTCAAGCCTGTAGCATTGCCTGGGGTTGTTGTGACCCAAGTGCAGGACCTGGCATTTGGCCTTGTTGAAGCTCATACAATTGGCCCATTAATCCAGCCAGTCCAGGTCTCACTGTAGAGCCTTCCTACTCTCAGGCAGATTAACACTCCCTCCCAATTTAGTTTCACCTGCAGATTTGCTGAGGGAGCATTCAATCCCCTCATCCAGATCACTGATTAAGAGAAAAATTGTTCCACACACTAACCCGTTGCGCCTTTGCTCCTGAGGCATTACAGCTCTTACATCCCCCCAAACAACCTGCTGTCTCCCACTGTGCGACAGAGACTTTAACCACTTGCAGTAGATTATTATTTTTTTTGCTTTGCCTTTATGGTTGTTTTTTTTTTAAGTGCTTATTAAGCCCTTTATCACTGGCATATTTAACTGGCATCTGCTAGTATACGTGTGCATATGTGGTGATGGGACTTCAGGTGGTGCTAAGTTTCTCTACAACATCTTTCTTCACAGCTTATAAATTTGAGCTGTGTCATTTGACTGCCTATAGACACACACTACACACATTACAGGGGTCAGCTGGAGCCACTAAACCTTGGCCCTGGGGTGAGGATGAGGATCACCCTCACTCCCTGGACTCCCCCTGCTTCCTCAGCATGGCTTTCTGGAAAGTGACAGGCTCCAAACTTCCAGCTGCTCTACTCTCCAGCCCTTACAACATCCAGCAGCCTGAAAAATAACCAAGGGGGAGAAAAGAAAGTAGCCACAGCCTAAATGGGAGCTCATCCAAAAGAAAGATGTTGCTTCTGTGAGGGATCCTAGCTCCCATGAAAATCTGGATACCACAGCAGCCAGCAGGGCACTCTCTAGAGAGGCAAAACCTTACCAGCAACAAATCCTGAATGTGACTACTCCCTCTGCCCCAAGCACATGAGCCCCTAGGGGCAGGATGCTACTACATCTTTGGAGCTACTACACCTTTGGGCCACTTTTCCCCCAAAATGGCCACAGTCCCCCTTGGGGGTGAGGAGAAGCTCTTCCACTACTAGGCACTCATACAAAGATTGAAGAGACAGCAAAATGTTATAAGCAATTGGCATGTTAGGTACACATACTTCAGTCTGAAGAAGTCTCAAAAAACATTTCTGGATAAACCGTATTTGACTAATGATAAATGACAAAGAACAAACCAGCTGTGTCTCTCCTGTTGATGATCAGCACACATTTTTAAACAGATGTTTCTCATTTAAAGTAAATTCTCACTTAAGGGAACTTTTTTTTTTTTTTTCCTGAGGACACATCTATCAAATTAGAAATTTTTAACAATTAGAAATGACAACTCTGAGGGACAGCAGGTAGTCCTCAAGTGAAGAGGGAGGGTTTTTTAAGATACATGAAAATAACAGTTCCATAACTAATTACATCTCTTTAAAAAAAAACCAACATAGAAAAAACCCAGAATAAATCCTTTCAAATTGCACCTGAAAATGTCAGTATAGTTGTAAAATTCATGTTCTCAAATAAAGCCTGAAAACAAAAATACAGCCTGATGTTGACCTGCAATCTATCATCAAAATTCCAAAATATCACCTGCCCAATTATAAAATGACAATTAATGGCAGTTTTCCTGATAAAGGAAACCGAGTGATGTATGTAACAGTGTCATGGGCTGGGGCTGTCAGAGCTATTTCCTATGTTAGGTTATCTTCATCATGCACTTAATTTCCTGCAGCGAAACGTGGTTAAAGGAAAAAGTCACCAAGCAAATGGTGCAGTGGTAAAATCAAATCTGGTCGCTGCAAATAAACCTTGTCAATTTGAAAAGGGCCAAACTACTGCATCGAGCCAGCATCACACAGAGGGAAGAAGAGAAGTAAAAGGTCTTCCTATCAAATTTACTTGTTGTATTTTGGTCAGATTTAATTTTCCACCAACTGAAAACCTATCCTATTCCTTTCTATGCCATAATAAATCTCACTGTAATCCTAAATGCTGTAATGAGGGATAGGTGCTTCTAGGCAGGTTCACAAGACCTGGCTTTGGGCTGTAGGGAAGCTCACTCAATGTAACTTGTCCTACATAAATCAAATTACAAAACAGATGAATAGTGATTTATTTTGCATACACCAGATACACAATATGATTAAATCAAAAACAGATTATCCAGTCTGGCTGACTTCTGCCTTTACCAGAAAGATTTATCAAGTTACACAAAAAAAAGAAAAAAAAAAAAAGAAAAAAAAAAAAAGAAAAAAAAAAAAAGAAAAAAAAAAAAAGAAAAAAAAAAAAAGAAAAAAAAAAAAAGAAAAAAAAAAAAAGAAAAAAAAAAAAAGAAAAAAAAAAAAAGAAAAAAAAAAAAAGAAAAAAAAAAAAAGAAAAAAAAGAAAGATACTAAGCAGCACACTAAAATATAGACAGGGAGGAAACAAAGCAAAAAAACTTCCACTAAACTTTGCAAAGGTGTTTAAACCTCATTTTCACATGACTGCTATGCATTTGGGTATTAAATTACCACCACACTTTCTAAGCTACTAGATGCCCGAGGCCACTTGAAAAAGAGATTTGCAAATCTGCTCCTTAACCAGGCTGCTGTGCAGAAGGCCTCAGAACAACTGTTGGTCTCACCCAGAGACTAATGCTGCCCACTGGCCAAGTACCACAGCATTGAGACACACATCCCAGATAGCTGCCTAAAAGCAGCAAAATCACTGCCTGGAAGAGCAGGGTGCTAAATGTGTTTGAGAGCCTGAAGTAAAGCAAGTTTTAGGACTGTGGCTGAGATGGGGTGTCTTGCACTAAACTTATTTTTTCTAACAGGGAGTGTCCCTGTAGAAACAAAACCATAAACTAGAGAAAACACAGGACTGCTGAAACTTCCACCAGGATGCCAGCTTACCCTGCTCCACCTGTGCACCAAATGCAAATATGGCTAAAATTTATTATTTATTGCCTGAGTCTCACACTGAAGTGGATGCCTGTGTTTTGGGGCAGAGTGGTGATGATGCCTGTGCGTTCACTAACTTGATTATGGTCAGGAAAATACACCCGCTTTGTATTTCACCTACAAGTTAATGGGGGTAGACTTTGCCCACTTTTTATGTTTTGTTGTGGGTTTTTTTTATTTCCTGTGACAATCGAGCGATCTGGCTTCGAGCTGTTAAAATAGATGCTGCATCGCACCCCAGACTTGGCTGTATTTTTCCTGGCATGGGGAGCAAGCAGCTCCTCTGTGGAGTGTGCTGGAATTCTTCACATTGCAGTTTGAAAACACAAGTTGTCGTCATACTCCCACATAATACTTAACACTACTGTCCTAAAATTTCACATTCTGAGATCGACTTGCACGAGAAATTCTGCATCTGTTGACTTAGAGAAAGAACAAGAAGCTACTGCTGCAGAAATGGAGGTAACAAGTGGCTGGCATCACAACTCTGCTTGTTCAGAATTTAGAATCATGCAGTGCTAAAACATGCTGATGAAGGAAGGCCATTAATAAGATGCTCACGGGGGCATTCGAGTGAGCTTAAAAGCAGCCAGAAGAAAGCATGGGGAGGATTAAATCAAACAAACTAATAAAAATCAATTTACTGAGACAGGCTTCCCAGCAATCTTCAGCATTATGGTACAGCAACCTAACATAATCAAAAGCCTCTGCTATGTGGTGGCCAACTGAACTTGTTGAAGCACCTAAATGTCACCATCCAGCATGAACATAGCAGAGGAGAGAAAAAGGTTAGAGGAATTGCGGGTTTTTCCCTGTCCACTCCCCACGCCCCTCAATTAACACCAGTGAGGCCCAGGAGATGGTCACTGACACAAAGGTAAAAGTCCCCATTTCACTGTGTTTTGCCCAGACAGCCTTGCCTTTGCTTTGTCTGAGGAGCTTCCTCTCGCTTGCCATAAACACACAAGTTTGCCATGAACAGACAGGTCAGCAAATCCGGTGCTGCTGCACTGGTGATTTTATCATTCTAAGATAGCTGGTGCTCTTTTCCACCTTCAGAAACCCCCAATTTCTTTAGAAACTCAACTTCTCCCAAGTAAGGTTGTCCTCTATCTCACTATCCAGACCAAAACATCTATTTAAAAAATAAAATAAAAATTTAAAATGTCATCAAAAGCATCTGAAAGGTCCACAAATCAAAAGAAAGAAGTACAAAATATGCAATATTTTAAAATCATTATTTCAAAGGACACCATATGGTTCGGAGACTCTGTGAATGATTTTTGCATGCTTGAATTTAACACTGTCACAGTCACAAAAGTGGAATCCAAAAAAAACCCCCAAAATAAACAATCCCACTGATGCAGATAAAAGCCAAATGTGCTTTTGAAACCGGTAGACAGGTATCCAGCCATACATTCTCTGGGTGCAAACTACAGCCTCCATAAGTAAAATGACATTACTTTGTGTCTGTGAGGTCAAGAACACATATGGATATTTTTGAGGTTGAATAAGGGACTGCAGCTAAATAAAATGTGGCTTTAAACAGCTTAAAAAATATAACTGTACAATAAAATACAGAAGGGAGCTTTTTTAAGTCACCTCGAATTGGATGTTTACTCCTGTAAGCTCCTTTTGGTGTGGCAGACCTCATACATGCCATATGCACAACAAACAACCCCAACCATTCCTTCCAACTCTTCCCTCCCAAAAAAATACTACAATTTATGAAAACTCAAAGTGTTACAGGCCAACACACTTCTTAGATTAGACTGATGACACCTGAAATAACTACAATGCATTACTTTCCAATGAGTAAGAAACTGTCTCTAGGAAATTTCAGGTTGTGTTTAGTTAAATACAGCAGCTGAAGAGGAAGGAATAAAAAATGGGTAAAATACTCAGAAATCTGGCACGTTCATGAGTGCCTGTGCTTTTTTGCTGCAATACAGGATGATTTGGGACATGCTAATGAGCGAGTAAAAAATAAAAATGGGATTTTAGTTTTGGAAATAGTCACTAAGAACTGCCTCCATAACCAAGGGCAGAAGTCCACTTCTTGACTCCACGTGTAAGGATTTTTTTGAGGCAGACTGGTACATTTTGGTAACCCATTTTGGTTCTGAAAAGGTACAATCACTGCCTGGGAGTTTGTTCCAAAGCTTAGCATGAAAATCTCTCCTTGGTCTCCAAATTTTCCTACACTCAAAGATTTGGCAGGAGGTGCTGGGCTGCAACCAAAGCATTGCAGAGCGATCACCAGCAGGGCTGGGTTACCCTCTGCAGGGTCAGGGTCGGGCTCTGCTCTCCCACCAGATCCTGCAATCCTCAGCACCCACATGTCAAATCCCATGCAGGAATAGAGTCACATGTTCACAGCTTGGGGGGTACGTGAGAGACCAAACCTTTTCCAAAAAGCTCACAGCCTGGAGATGAGGCTGAGCACCCGAGCTCACAGCCCCTGTAAGCAACAAAGACAAGCCTGAGGCACAGAGAGACTGTGTCTCTGTTCAGGCGGGCATTATTATACCCTTATTATACACCCCTATTATTCCTTTCCTCTGGGACTTGAAAAGCCTAAAGCAGATCGAGCTTTAATTACAACAAACGAAAAACACCATCAATTTCAGAAACAATACAAAAAAGCAGTTTCCCTTTTAGACTGACGCCCACTACAAAACCCCAGGAAGGGAGACAGCACCCAGCTGACCGGTCTGTCTCAGCCTGCTCCCTCCTGCCTCCAGAGAGACGGGCACGCAAGAGGGAGGGAAAGGCGTCAGGGATTTTCCGAGGCACGCCGGCTTTTGATGAAAAGTGTACCGCTTATTCAGGAAGAGGCAGAGGAGACAATCAAATATGGTTATCTCAAAAACCATTATGACCAGGTAGATTTTGGAGCCTGAGCTGTTTGTTAGAACCCACCTCTCCAGCCCTTGCGCTTGAAATGTAACAAATGTGTAACATAACAGGAAAAAAAATCCAGCTCTATTGTGACAAATTCTTAACCTTTTTTTTTTTTAAGATTTAAAATAACAGAGTTTCTATTGCGTAGGCTGTGATCCTGTTGACATCTGTGCTCAGTTGCCCAGCACTTTCATATACATAAAACGAGAGGTATTTTTGGTGGAAGGAAGCACCGTCAGTGTATCTGATTGGTAAAATAACTTAAAATCGCAATTCGACATTAACTTCCAACTGCCCTAGAGCACGAGTTAATGAGATCACATGGAAACATATTGCGAACCAGGAAACATATTTTATACAGGGCCAAAACAGTGGAAAAAAATGTTAAATACACAACGTAGTGGGGCTCCATTTTGTACGCATCACCTTTCTTGTTTGTGTTAGAGCACAGGCAAAGCCGGGTGCCTCCTGACAGACTGCAGCAAAAGTGCCTGTGGGCCACAAGCTGCACGGGAAAGATAAAATGCCCATTTGGTCGAACTGTTCCATTATTGCCCTGGAAGTCCTTGGCAAAAAGCAGCCCCCTCGTGCAAAAGCCAGCAGCTGGCCTTTCTGATGAACATGGGCTCCTTGGCACTTAAGTGAAAGAACATAAAAGCTTTTTTAAGAATGCAGGAAGGCTCTGAAGGATTTGCCTGGTGTTAAAAGTCTCTATCCCATCTCCAAAAGTGCCTACCACTGGATGGCTTGGCCAGACCCACAGGGGTTGCTTCATTTCCCAGTGCTGAATTGACCGAGGGTCCTGCAAGGAGCTTGGGCAATGCAGAGAGGAGGAGGGAGGAGAACAATTGAGCACTGGGACCACAGCACTACACATTGTAACACAAAGGGCCATGAACTGCTTGAACTCAAGTTCTGGGAGACAGCACATGGCAGAGAGGTGCTGGCTGGAGACGACCGAGTCTGGCAAGGTTGAGAGCCAGGGAATGTCCTGCTAGTTAAAACATCGCAGCTACGTGCCCACTTCTGTCATGTTGAGAAAGAAGCTTTGCTGTCAAAAGCAAAAGTATCAAAAGCAAGAACCCAGGTGTACTTGAGGAGGAAAATGAGAAGGGGTGGCCATCAAAAACTGGAACTGGGAACAGCCTGCAAACTTTTGGAAAGCCAAACTCTTTTCTGGCACCTTGTGCTTCTGCATATACAGCCTTCAGAAGACTTCAAAATAGACCATAACTGAGACCATAAGAGAAAGCAACGGATGGAACTCAAATTTTGGCTATCCCATGGTGCTTCCTACCCAGAGCCCTCTTGTGATAAATAGATGTGACCAGTATATTGAGCACCATCAGCTGACAAATAAGGTTTTCTTCTTTAGACATAAAAATGGCGGGGAAGGGGGGAAGGAGGGGGAGGAAAGAAAAGCACTGTCCTACACAGACAGGAAAGGAAGATTGACAAGTAGTTTTCAGATGAAGCAAAAGAATGCACAAAAGAACCATATTCCTATCAGTTCACATTTACTGTCTATAAAGCATAAATGCAAAAGACCCTGTAAGAGCCACAACAATGAGACCATCTCCTTGTCCTGCAACAAAAAAAAAAAAACCTAAACCATGATGAACTATTTAAGTAAAGCCAGAGATCTGATGGTACCAAATTGTCCTGCTGCCTGAAGAGCTTCTGATTACCCCATTTCCAGACCGCCTGGGCTGGGTCTCATCCTCTGGGAAGCAAATAACCAGATACAACTGTCACATGGCCAGCTCCTAGAACAGCCCCTTTAACCCTTCAAGACTTCACTCATGGTCACGCCACACCAACAACAGAGGCAGCGTCATGAGATACAGCTAAGTGGAATGAGTGGATAAGCAGATTCAGCAGGAAGCAGAGACAGGAAGGGGAAGGAGGGGAAAAAAGTATACAATAAAGATGTTATCAGGATTGCCTTCCAAGATTGAGTTCCTTACCTTATATAGGATGTTGGAGACAGAGACTTTGGTTTGGCCCACTGGTAGGGATGCTGTGGCACGGACAGGTACTGTTCACAGAAGTTTCCTTTCCTGATGTGCTGAAAGCTGGAGTAGTCTTCTGGTGACAAATCAGCAGTTGGTGATATGGTCCCATGATCCTCGCCAGCTGGTTCAGTTTTCAGATTCATGGATGGGGTGTGATCGATGGCCGTCTTCCTGGACTTGATGGGAATGCCGTCATTCATGTCTATGGCGCTGTCGGTGGTGAGGGCGTTGATGGCAGCGACAATGGCAGAGCTGGTGTACTGGTTGGTGTTCCCCAGCCACGTCTCATCCGTGACGCTCACCCGCGGCGAGTTCTGCGGCGAAGGCGTGGGGGAGTGGTGCGGGGAGTAGGAGGTCTGCCGGCCGTTCAGGCTGTACTTTCTCTTGTTGCAGGGCGACGGAGGCCTGGAGTTGCGAGCCCCCAGCCAGTTCTCTTCTGTGATGCTCGTCCTGGGCGATGTGGATGGAGAATGCCTTGGGGAACCGAGCAAAGTGCAAGCCACCATGCTGCGCTGGTAACCTTCCTCCGTGTCCGTGGTCTTCGGAGAGACACACGGGGACTGCCAGGGAGAGGTCTGGGGTGAAGTGTACGGATACGAGTAATTGGACTCATAGGAAGACGCTTCGGAGTTGCAGCTTCTGGAAGACAAGCTACTCGCTGGGCTCAGGCAGGATGGGTCTCTGTACGCCTCGATGTTCGGCAAGTTCAAAGTGGCAGTGGAGGGAGACCGCTTGGCATTTGGGATGGCCTCCTCAACCTCATCATGGAAAAACTGGTTGTTGTTATGATGAAGTCCCATGTAAGAAGTTATCTCAATCCTAGGGCTCTCCAGCACTGGAGCTCCATTTGGTCTGATGTTGGGCGGCAGGTAATACTCGGAGGCCCCACTGTCCATGTGTCCTCCATATCCAGAAGGATGGTTTGTCGATGGGACAACTGAAATGACGGGATTTGATGTCTGAAGGCCATGACATGGAGTTGACAATGAGGAATGTGCCACATTAAGAGGCAAGCCAGCATTTAAGTTTGAAGATGTATAATTATAGTGTTCTGGAAAAAAAAAACAAACAAAAAGGAATGCTATGAGGTGCTGCACAAATATGCTCACTTAGTAACATCCTCAGATGGAGTGGAGGGACATGGCACAATACACAAAAACACAGGTCTCCTTAACAATCCAGCCCACATGCCACACCAGGGGAGAAGCTGCAGACTAGCACCACTGAAAATGCCACCAATTGAACAGCACAAGACAAGCTATCTTGGGAGAGGGATGTACATGGACTGAGTTTGTCTCAGGGACACTCTTCTTATGTGATCCCTCGGAGCAAAAAATCAAGTCTTCAAACAATGTTGCTTCAGCATTCAGAGACTGCTGTGCTGATCAAGAGATGTGCTTTTATGTGAGTGAGCCTAATTCCCTCCCTGAAAAGTTGGTATACACAAAAAACACAGAACAAAACACAAAGTGGAGGCAGACTAAAGCAAAGAACATGATCAACTGCATTCTGTCAAAAAAAAAAATAATACACAACCTAAATTTCCATTACAGCAAGTTTCCGACTGGTTCCAGTTAAGTAGGATTTTGCTGCTCTGGCTTCTGGGACCACTTATCCTCCAGTCCAACTGGCAGACGCCAGGTGAAAGATAAACATGGACATCTCACTACTCAGCAACAGCTGGAATTCCTCTGAAATTGCTGGTTATTGCACATGCCATGTCAAGCATGCTCTTGGCCAACAGTCTAACCATTTAACGGCTCTAGGTGTAGAAAAGCAACAGCAAAATTCCACAGTTGGTATGAAAAACCTGGAAAGTGACAGACTACATCACAGACTTGCACTGATGGACTTCCTGAGCCAGCACAGGGGAACAACCTGCGCTCCGCGTCCCTGCTGTGCTACAGGCACCAGCCTCTCACAGCTGGTCCACAGGACAACATCCCTGCCTTGCCTCACTGTCAGCATGCTGAAGGGACTTCTTCAGCTCCACTCCCCCCATCTCAAGGCTGCATATGGTCTTTCAGACCCAGAGACACCTGTCGGCTGTGTGCAGGGAGAGAGGCAGCCCTCAATGAGCAACGTGCCCCCAGTGCACGGAGCAATGGTGGGATCAGGACTCACCCACCCCACGTTTTCTGATACAGAGTGGCTCTGTATCACCAGCACACATGGGCCAGAGTCTCTAATGCCAGTACAGCAAAAAGAGAGCAAAACTTTTCTATCAGGGACAACAGCTGCTAAACTCTAAACTTTGAAGCTGGGTAACGCTGGTCTGCAGGTTCCTCTCAGCAGGCTGGAAGTGCACTCAGCTCGAGCTCCAGCCCCAAGCTGTGCCTGCAGCATCAGCTTTCCCTGAGGTTTACTATGGCAGTGGCACTTCCCTGCAGGACAGAGGGCAACTGCATCCCCCCTGGCCATAGCTGGTCAAGATGGGAAGTGTATCCCCCTTTCCTTCCAGACAGCAAGCTCCCTTGGCAGTCATCCTTGCCCACCTTCCCTAGAGAGATGTGGAAAAGCTGTGTTAATTACCGCAGCTGTTATTCCCAATGCAACCCTGCTCCCCGGGAGCTCTGCAGATGCAAACAAGCCCCCAAGCTGGTAACACCAAAGCAGCCGGCTCTTTCTTATGTTTATCAGCTCAGCCCTCACCAATGCCGTCCTTTGGCAACGCCGTGCTCACCCTGCTTGCTGGCAACGATTTCAAGGCAAACGGGACTCAGGAAAAATGAATGTGCTGTTGCAGTTTCACAGCAACTCTGCAGTGTTCCAGCTGATGGATGTCATGTCAGGCAGCAACCAGGAACGATAAGCAACAACACCTTTTGAACTCGCTCCCTGGTCTGTCTGCAGAGACCTGCCGTTTACTGATGAAGGAGCATTAAATTACATGGGAGTTTACCACAAACAAAACTGTATTCAAAATATACTGCAGCTTCACACTCTAGTCAAACAATAAGGCAAGCAGGAACTATGGAGAGAGATGTGCTACTCTGACAAGGATAATCTGACTGCAGTGGTGACAGTGAGTCACAGGTCTGCCTAGGGGGTCAGAGTCCCCCTCCTTCGAAAAGAAGTTCCCTTTTGTTGCTGCCCTGCCACATGCCCGAGCTGCTCAGCACCAATACTACCACCAGTTCTACCACCAACACTTCCCTCTTACCTCTTCATTGGGAAAAAACTGCAATGGTACAACAGTGGTTAGACTGCCTCGGTTTCAGAAATGAGCTCAGAGAAGCAGCTCAAGCAAGGTGTTCAAGGCAGCTTCAACCCCTCACTGAAGCTCCCTCCAGCTGCAGAGCAAGTCCCTGGAGCCACCCTGCTAGTGGGAGAGCCACACACGGTGGCTGGGCTCTTCTCCCACATGCACCCCACAGCCTCCTGGCCTGGCAAGGAGGTGGATGGTGCTGGGCACACGGCACAGCCAGGTGCCACCTTCAGCCAGACCCACCAGATGGCCCGACAGCCCAGGCAGGGGAAGGTGGGTTTTGCCAGCCCCAGCTCTTGCTCACCAGGTGGGCTTTGCCAACCGGGTACAACAGCAGCATCTATCTGCTGACTGCAGAATCAGTGCCTTTAGATCTTTTAGTCAAAATAAACTGGTACCCAAACAAAATAGCAGGGATAGTTATTACATGCGTGAAAAGTATTGTGAACCCAGCAGTTCTCTTAAAATCTAACGCATGAATAGAGTGAAATTCAAACACTGACGTCTGTTGGGAGATGTGCAGCCCAGGCCAAACAGGCAAGGCCAGCCTTTCAAAATCCAGTTTAAAAGAAAGGCAGTTTAAAAGACAGCCTCACGTGCTCCAAGCAACAAGTTCCCCTAATGCACGTGGCAAGAAACAGGCTCTTTTAGAACTACTATGCATATTTTTGAAAGGCAGCTTCTAAAGGTCCAAGAAAAATAACGTCATACATCTTCTCACCCAATAGTACTTAAAATTGAAAGAAATAACACCCAAAGCCTTCCAAAAATATTTAAGTATCTTAAATTTTCAGGCAGTGTGTAGAAATTATGCCCACCAAATATAAAAGCCCCAAAACCAGAACTAGGAACAGGAGTGGGTCCTTGGTTTGTGAGCTAAAAACCACCAGCTACAATTTCTAAAAAAGCACATTCTTCTACACCACTTCTGTCTTTACAAAATTAAGCAAACACACACACATCATCAGCATTCATAACATGCTGACACAAAGGGACGAGAGATGGAGGTAGCTGCAAAGGTATGAACCTGCATGACACAATGCAGCTGTGTGAGGTCTTTTGCCAGGGCTGATGAACAGAAGGTAACACTTCAGCATGGAGTTGCTGTCAGGACTATGACCCATAGAGGCCTCCAGGACCCTGGCACTTGCTCCCAAGACACTTTCCATAGTGTATTTTAATATCTCAAGCTAAATCCCAGTATCAGATAGACCAGTGAAGGCCTGCAATAGTTCTGTTCCAACAAATCCAGAGTTATATTAAGTATAACTAAGACAAGAAATCTGACCCCTCCGTTTGTGAGCACATCTTCACATATTACATTTCATTTTGTGACAACATAAAAAATTCCAATCTTTTTTCTGCTCATTAATTTTGCAGAGCAAAGGTTTTATCCCTTTCTGTCATTAGCAGGCTGATACTGCAAGGCACTGGGCACCACCAGTTTTTATTTGCATTCTTTAAACAGGAATGCTGAACACCTGCACCTCAGAGGGGCTTCAGAGAAGGTGAGGGCTATTTTACAGTTCTTAAGATGAAGCCATGTCTAGGTCTGTGTTTAAATTCATGCTTGCAAAATTGCTTAATGAGGTTAGGTACTTTTCTCACTAGGATTTTGACACTTAATTTGGTTAGGCCCCTCCACTTCCCAAGTGTGCAATTACAAGGACACTCCTTTGAAAAGCTTGGCGTGAAACTCTTAAAAAACACATTTTCATTAAAAAATGAGAAGCTCATCACAACTATTTGGACTGACAATGTGCTGCAGAGATGGAAAACTGGGGAACATTAGGAAGGGGAGCTGCGTTACACCTTCACCTGCGTGCTGGCAGGCTGCCATACACAGGCAAGGGTTTGGGACCTGGCTTCGGTTTAAAGGCAAAAGATGAAGCACACAGAGGCAGCCTTCTCCGGGACTGCATGAAGTCACTCACTTGCATGAGGGCTTTTGATGGTGACCAGCTATCGCGACACCCTAACAGTCAATCCCATAACAGGAAACGACAACTTTCTCTGTCGGTTCCAGACTTGTTTTGCCTCATTTCCACCTCAAGTATGGTTAAAAGTGATTAAAAAAAAAAGGCAGCCAGACCGAGACACCGGAGTTGAGAATGATGTGATCTGTGATAAATTCAGGTCCGTTATTTTTATTTACAGATGACCTTCAAACTAAGCCCCGAGCCTCACCAGCTCCAGCTCACGGGAGGAAGGGGAGGGGTGCAGAAGGAGGTTTTGAACTGGCCCAGCTCTGCCATCAGCAAGACCCAGACGCCCAGTTCCACCCCCGGGAGCTCTGGGAACAGCGAGGGCAGGGCGAGCAGGTCGCTCAGGCAGCGCCTGGAAGCCCTGCGAGCACAACCCGGGCACCGCGACGGCTGGAAGAGCTCAAAACAATCCCCCCAACTTCCAAAAATTAGGCGCATCCCGAGCCGTCTACCCTTGCAGGCTCGTCCGGGTGCTGCAAGGG